TTAAATTTCCATTACTTGGACTTGCCTTAAAACATCCTGCCTTAAAACATCACAGTGCTTCCATCATCATGAAGTGTTGTAGAAATTCATTTAGACTTCATGCTATGTCGTCGAAACTTTAACTGTACCTTGTTGGTGGCCTATAGTAGTAGTTTTTGGACTGGTCTTCATCATTCATACCACATACGATACACAGAACGACATTCATTGAACTTGATTACGATCTGTTTCAATTGCCTGTATATTATTGTTTCTTATACATTTCAGAAAATGATATTTTTCACCCAATTATTCATCTTTCGATAACGACGAGTATTATTAGAATATGAATCTGCAAGTTCAGACACAATTTTCTGACTAATTGAGTTGCCAATTGAAAGCAATCATTCACAAATAATGCTATTCTGTTAGCACTTGCTCCATTCATCTGTGAACCTTTTATCCCGTCTAATTTAAAATATGCCGAATCACATTTTCTTTAATTTATTCTAAAATAAGTCATCTTTGCTACTTTCTCAGGAAGTGGGAGGTTTTCAGATATCAAAGTTGTGAAGTATACTCCCAAGACAGATGGAGTTATTTTATTTTGGTAAAATTAATTCTAACTTCTTTAAGACAGAATCTGAATGAGAGACGTTTTCTTGGTGTAAGTTGTTTTTTCTATTAAACTACTCTACTTCTGTCAATAATGTGGGTCTACAGCTCATTTCTATGAAACTGTCAGCTAGTAATAGTAAATGGATCATTTAGGAAATAAAATAAAAAAAATAGTTCTTGTATTTTACATTTTAAAAAATAAATCTTAAAGTTTTAAGATTTATCCTTGATGAATATTTTTATAAAAATTTAAAATAAAAATACAGCAAAATTTTTTTAAAAAATGTGTAAATTATTAGAAAAAGAACACCAAGAAGGAATTACGAATTATTGTGTGTTTGGAATCTCCTAAATTTACATTTCTTAATTTTGATTTAGAATCCTGAAATATTCCATGAGACAAAAATTCTAAAATTAAATAATTATTTACAAATACTTCGAGAGAGTATATATTATTAAAACATATAATTATAACGTATTATTATAATATTATTAAAACAAAATACATAATTCATATAAATATATAAACTTGCATACACTTCAATGGTAGCACTAGAAAATATTTCTTTGAAATTTAAACATTTTTTTTTATCTACGCTACTAAATTATGCAACAAAAATATGGTTCATTCTTAGTTATTTCTGGTAAGAACTAAGAATACAAATTTGCATTCAGAGTAAAGTAATTCAAAAAATAAGAGAAATATTCTTTTGGAATAAATCCAGTGTTTGAATCCAGTATTGGCTTTAACTGAAAGGAACTTTTAAAATCGATATTTGATTTTTTTTCTTAGATCTCTGTAATCATGATATCTTCAACGACCCGTTGAAAAATTTTGAATTCTAGTTGATTTTAAAGAAAAGTATAGACTTTTATAGACGATAGATAAATATAAACCATTGTGAAAACGATATGTATATCCCAATAAAAAATATTATCTTAAAAAGAAAACTCTATTTGGAAAACATGATACACTGGAATTAAAATAGAATGAATAATAATTCTTATTTTTAGATGCTCTGGAATTTTTAATTAAAATGTACTCATAGTATTCATAAAAAAGATTGACATTTTATAATTAATGTTTGAAAACGAGGCTAAACATATTTACATATTTAATTTTTTCAAATGATTTTTGGATAATTTTCTTTATTGCCTAAGGTCCTTTTTTGTCTATAGTTAATTTTCTTATTATTATTTTGTTTCGCAACTCCCATTAAAATGATCAAATAGTTTTTTTTCCTTGTATATATATTATGCTTTACAATAACACGAGCTTTCTATCAGTATAATAGATACAAAATAAGCATGATTTGTCTTTGCGAAGCTCAAAACGCATGTTTTTCTGGCCTAAATAAGTCGCTACAATTATTTTTAATTAAAGAAATATGGCTGAAAAATTTATTATACTTTGTGTTTCCTTCTAAATTCACCCCTTAAGTGGTCCTTTTTTTAAAACCCAAATTGCTTAAAAAACAAACGCCTTCCCCACGAAAACAAATTTCGGTTGAAAAGCATTTCAGTATTATAGACCAACTGCATCATCTTCTCAAAATACTAGTACTAAATACTAAAACAAAAAAGCGCAAATTCAAGAAAGAAAATGTCAGTGCCCGTACAGCGTATGGCCAATCTAGTTGCAGGCAAATTTTGGCAGCCCGTACATTGAAAGGGCAAAACGCTTAAAGGGTTAAGTGCTCTTTTTCAAAACACAGTAAACACATTTCCGAACATAAAACACATTTCCGCACTTATAACTTAAAACCTTAAAATTAAAATAAAGTAAATATTTGACTTAAGATGTCTTGAAGTCCTTACAAATTACTCTACACTTTATATTGATCTAAGAGCCTTTAAATATATAATTAGTAATTATGCAACTTAAATGAAATATACATAATTTTATTAATATATCAGTGCGTCAGATACGTTTTAAGACTCGTCCCAGAGCGCAGTTTGTAATGGCGCTATGATTGTAAATGCGCATGTGTCATAACGTCCATCATCTGCTAGCACATTTTTAATGAATTGAGCACATTTCATTGAAAAACTGCGAAGTAGAGCATTTTTGCCGAAGTAAATTTTTTTCGTGTGTTCAAAGAGCTGAAATTAAATGTAACAGAAAACTAGGTTAAAGTACTTTGGAAACATACCAACTCTTGAAGCAAGTTTTCGGTGACTGTTGTTTAAAAAGATGCAATGTTTTTGTGCGGCAAAGCAGAAACGTTTTTTTTTTTGGAGGGGAGGGATACTGTAGAAGATGATTAGCGTAGTAGGAGATTAAATTATACAGCGTACCTGGAATTATTGAGAAAGTACGAAATTTCGTGGCAAATGCTAGCTATGCGTCATCTAGACTGATCTAAGACTCTTCAAAAACCAACAAAGAAACGATTAGAGCCATCCTGTATAAGGATTTGAAAGAAAAAATGTATGCTAAATTTGTTCCACCCACTTCAACCCCTGAACAAAAAGTAATGCGAAATGCATACTGTAGAACATATCAATTAAAATGATTCAAACTTCTTGAAATCCATTGTTCTAGGGGTGGAAATCTGGTATTTCCAATATAATCCTGATACAAAGCGATGAAGTGTGGAATGGAAGTCACAAAATTCAGGGTAAGACAAAAGTAAACAAGAAAAGTTCGATCCACAATCAAAACAATACTCATTACATTCTTCGATAGTAAGGGTATAATCCACAAAGAATTTGCTCCAACTGGATACACAATTATTAGTCAGTACTCCTGAGCTAATTTAAAGCGTTTGATGTGCATAATTCATCGCATTACATCAGAATATTGGTTTGAAAGCAGTTAGTGTTTGTTACACGACAATGCACCCAGTTATACCTTCATTATTGTTCGTTAATGTTTGGCAAAAAAGGATCTCCGATTTATCAACTGTAACTATTCCTTATTTCCAAATTTAAAACGAAGTTAAAAGGGTGTTATATTTTGAGGATATTTCGACTATTCAAGTAGCTTTGACGCATCCTTTATAGGCCTATACAGGCCAACAGATGGCCTGTATAGGCCCTCTGGGGTAAATCCACGACGGGATTTACAACAGACGTTCGATTTATTAATAAATCCCTGTAAAAAATGCATTTTGAAGCAAGTGCCTATTTTGAATAAAGAATTAAAACATGAATTAATTTCTTGCTTCCATTCCTTTTTACAGACCTATATTCTTAAACCTTATTTGACTCACTGTGTATATTCATAAAATCAGTTTTAATTCATATTTTTTTTTAAATATAATTAGTAAACTTTTTGGTGCAGAATAGGTTTTGCATAATTCCTTCAAAATACAAATTGAAAAGGAAAATAAAATTTTTAAATGTAATTCACATACAAGCTAAAAATTCACAAAGCATTAAATAATGAAAATTAAGTTAATTTAAGTTCATAATTACAAATGAACTATTCTAGATGCATGTCATATGAATTGTAATATCATAAGAAATACAATGCGAATTATAATAAACAGATCAAAAGCATGCATTAGGAGTGGAAATAAAGTTAGAGGTTCTGAAATTCTTTTCCACCTTGAGTGAAGGGAAAAGGTGAACTGTCATTGAATTCCAGATGAACTGTTTCTTGTAATTTTACTTAAATAACGATCGAACTTGAACGGGGTCTTGTTCTAGAATAATAGATTGTTTCTTCAAAACACACATTTAATCAAAAGTTTTTCTTTCTTATTTCAGGTTATCGAAAAATGAAGACTTAAGTAGGAATGAATATGTTCCGATTCAGTGTTTATTTCCGATGATCGAGAAACGATTCAACAGTGGCTTAGTGAATTCGTCGTAAGATTGTCAAGAAAAGAATTTTTCTACGTCTATTAATATTATTTGTAAGTCATGTAAATTTAGTAACTATAAACAATTTTCTAAAGACTGATTTTTTAAAAATTAATTTTAAAATTTTAAATAGTTCTTGAAAATTAGCTTTAAATATTTCATGAAATCTTTTGGAGTTTAAAAAATAACTCTTGTTTTTCATTTTTCATTAGTTTGATTTTAAATTTTGAATGTATTGTGCTGTGAGTAGCTAGTTTTATTAACCCATTACTTGAATTATAAAAATAATATATGTATAATAAAAGGATAATTAATTTATAACCTTGGTAAAATTCCATTTCCCATTAAAATTTTTTCCACATTACATATTCACGTATATATATTATTGTTGTTGTGTTTTTTTATCCTGGGATACATATGAAATACACATGTGGAAGAACATAAACATACAATACAAACAGATGAAGAATACATACATTTTTTACAAATGATAATCCCAGCATATAACAGCAGGAGTGCACTGCTTTCTAATCGAGACGAGAATCCGTTACAAGCGACAATGCGACTTTTTTTCCGAAAAAACCCAACAACCATGCCTTATTCAGGATTCGAACCTGAGTACACTCGGTTACAAGCCGAGGGTCATATCCACTATACTGGCTGGGTTGCCGGGTATATTATTGAACAGCTATTAGGTTCTCACAAAACATCATTAAACCTTCAGATTTCAATCCCATTTCATTCCCTTTTATGGCCATAGTCCATACTGTACCACACATTATCTCCATTTGAAACAAACTAAAGTTGACGATTTAATAGTTATTGAAATAAATATACAATCAATTTAAAAGTCGACACTGTTGGCATTGGACTGCCTCGCAATAAAGATGTAGAAATCGGGTGAAGTATGAGACCCCGAAAAATCAGTCATTTTAATAAAAAATCAGTGTTTTTATTTAACCTTTAATTTGACATCCAGAAATGTCATAAGACAACGAAGCAGTCAGTTTATCAATATTCTAAATATCTATAGCAAATAATGGGATTCCTTATCGTTCTCTGAGATCCGATGTAACAGTCCTAGTCTGGGATTGCCCGGTGTAACTTGATAACGTAGACGAAAGATTTTCTTGAACTCCGAGGGCTTCAGATATTGATTCTAATGATCTAACCTGAATCGAATCTTAGCGACTAACCGCTTCACTCACTTCACTAGAGTCTGAATAGCATTCAAATTAGCATAAGTCATGAATTCCCAACCTGAAGCGGCTTAATAATCCTAATGAATGAGTAAAAAAGTTTTTTTCCGAAATGCCTCAATATCTAATCATATATATATATATATATATATATATATATATATATATATATATATATATATATATATATATATATGTATCAGGTCAGGAAAGTTTAACTTCAAAAATAAGTGAATAATAAATAAAAATAGAGTACTTTTTAATACCACGTAGGGATTTGATGGTGAATAAGGTAGGGCGATACTTAAAGGTAGAGCGAGCGCTGACGTAGTTGGAGCATATAAGCAAAATGTCAGACGTGCAGGCCTGGGGCCACAGCTTTATATATATATATATATATATATATATATATATATATATATATATATATATATATTTATCCTTTATTTATTTACAGTCGGAGCTATATAGTATATATTATAATTATTACTTATTGCATATATCACACCACTGATAATCCTAGATAAAATGTAGTAGAATCAGCTAATTTTAAGCTTGTAACGTGTTTTTCATTTTAAACCATAAATCACTGTTTTACTTTCTATTTTTACATTCAATGCATCCACGATTGAAAAAAACAATAATTCTAAATTATCTGAATATTTTACGTAATTTTGAGAAAACTTATTCTCTCTAATCATTCAAAATCTTTTAAAAGTTAAAATAAAACGTAATTAATTAAAAGTTAAATTAAACGTACTTATACGCTAGTATATAACTATATTGACATTTAAATCTCTTTTAAACGACGAAAACCTAAGTATTTAATGAAAAGTCAAAGTAACCTCTCCAAAATTTGTGATTACTTCACTAAAGTAAATCAAATTCATACATTCATCATATGCAAGGTATATGTTTTCGAATTTTAGAGAAATACATCTTAAAATTTAAATATTTTAACATAAAAGAAGTACTTTATTTCAAAATACGTATGTGAATTGAGAGGTATTGCAATATTTTAAATGATTTAAGCGCTTCTCGACTCGTACTCATGCATTGCTGAATTTTTTTTACATTAAATGAAAATCAAATTTTTCTTGAAAGTATGTTTAAATAAATTATTGAATAGCTTTTCAAAGAGCATTTGTTTTGAGTTTTCAGTATATCTAAATGAAATGCAGAATATTTTATATCTATTGTTAACTAATTCTTAGAGATTCATTTAGTATATTATTAAGAATTTCTTTTGATGTAATATACATGATTAAGATAACATTTTATTTTTCAATTTCTACTATTAGTTCACATTCTCCCTATATATATATATATATATATATATATATATATATATATATATATATATTTATATCATTGCTCAAATATTTAATTAATTAATATTTGAAAAATTCATGAATAAATAGTAACAATCAAATTAGTAGTCCAACACCATATGTAGAAAGAAAAATTGCTTTCTATTTTGCAACTTAATATTGTGGTTCTGTTATACGTATAGACATATTTATATTAATTGTAATTATTTTTTTTAAAAAAGTAACTAAAATAAAATGTTATTTTTGTTGACGTAAGTAGGAATATGCTTTATTTTACTTGTGTAACACATGGTTTAATTCGAAGACCGAAATGTAGATGGCGGTACTTGTAAGTGTTACCGAGCAAAGCCCTGTATTACCGCCAGAGAGAGTTGGGAACTGAATGAGTAAACGTTACTCGTCTCACTGTCCAATCCTGGACTATGTAATATATTTAATTTCCTCTAAATGTTTAACCAGTATTGTGTCTAAATTTCTGTCCGTTGTAAATGTTATATTTTATGTCATTAAACTATTTTAATTACCCCGAGATTCTTTCCATTGCTTTGGTTTTACCAAGTAATGACGTAAGAGATCCGTTACAAATTGGCGCCCAAACGTCGAGCCGATCCGAGCACAATTCCCAACTTTCTCTCGCTTTTTCCACTTAGGTTGAGGCGTTGTCAACCGACAACAAATAGAGAATTAGCAACCCTGCGAATAAATATTGTTTTCATCCAGAAATCCTGTGAACAGATAAGTGTTGTTTATTCTAAATAATCTTACTCGGTTATTCTGTATAAGAACAGTGATTATATATTATTGCTCTTAGTATGTATGGTGTGTTACAGTATATAGATAAGTGATATTTTCACTTATTTATTTGTCAGTATTCTTAATACTTTTTTTTTGAAAACGAAACTCGCGTTCTATTGTTTGTCCTCATTAAAGCTAATTAAAGGTTATTTATGAATGCATACTTTCTTACTAATTAAGAATTTAACGCCATTAACATATGTATATACTTTTATTATCAAGAAATTATTGCGATTTGTATTTATTCAAATAATTTCACTTTGATTCTTGTTTGATTACTAAACTTTTAATTAAATTTTATGTTGAATGCAATTTTTATCATAATATTTTTTTTTACTTTTTATGTCGAATATAAAAATAATTATTTTGTGAAGTACATGATTTATTACGAAGTATTACTATAACATTTGAAAACTTGTATGTTTTAGTAAAGAATAAACATTTATGCTTTTTATTTAAAATTTTTTGGAAAATAATTTCAAGTACTTCTAAGTGTAAACAAGTTTGTAATAGTGTTAATTTCGGAGTGGATGAAATAATTTATGAATGGTATTTCTATTTAAACGTATATGAATTGTTTTTGATTAAAAACATTTTAATTGATTTAATTTAACGAAAACGAAATATTTCTTTGATTTAATTTAAATGATTTCATGTTAATTGATGATACTCTTTTGATTAATAATGAATATTATTGAAATATTATTATTTTGATTTTGAAGTACGAAATTAGAAGATAGTTGATATTGAAAAATTTGTTTCATTTTTTTTAATCTCATTAATATTGATGTGAAAATTAATTAGCAGATTTTGAAATTAGAGAATTATATTGTCATTCAGGAAGAGTGTATTATTGTATAGAGTATTTTTTTGTATTTATCGGAAACTTTATGTGCATAAGTATTGTTTGACTATAATATTTTCAGATCACAGAATTAACAGTTTTGAGTGAACTTTAATTGATCTTTACTAAATTAACTTTGAAATAGTCTAAAAGTGACGAAAAATGGCTTTTTTGGGAAGGTCCAGAAAAGAGGATTTATGAATGTTGGCAACAGAATTGGGTCTGGCTCCGTCGGATAATCTCAAAATTATTGAACTAAAATATCTCATAACCAACAGTGATAGGTATGATGAGGAATTCGTCAAAGATATGCTCAGCATCATTGTAGAGGAACGTACAGCAACAGAAAAACAAAAAGCTGTGGATCTGGAGGAGAAACAGAAAGCCGGGGTTGTGGCTCAGCAACGAGAAAGAGAATTCGAACTGGAAAAAATGAAAATTCAACTTGAAATGCAGAAGCTGTCACAAGCACCTGTTATAAGCCAACAACTAGAAAACCCAAAGCTTGAGTTAAATAGAATTATTACGAGATTCAATTCGAAAGAAGATGAAATGGGTCTATACTTGACAATTTTCGAACGTCAAGCGAAGTTCTTGAACATCCCTGAAAAAACTTGGACAGCATACCTGATTGGCTCATTGCCACCTGATATAGCTCAGCTCATCGCAGTAGAGGATGAATATGATGCTCAAAACTATGAAAAGGTAAAAGAAATGCTTATAAAAGATTTCGAGTTACAGGGGATAGGTTTAGGTAGTACTTTTCCCAACAGAAGAAAAACCCAGAATCAACATGGCGAAATTTTATTTCGAATTGAGCTCTTATTTTGAAGATTGGATCAAAGAGTTGAAGATAACCACGTTTGACCAACTTAAAAGTCTGATAATTGTTGATCAGATAAAAAGAAAAACTCCAGCAAATATCAAAGAACATTTTCTGGATATTTGGGCGGATTTGAACGATCTTTTTTAATTGGCTGAGAAGTTGGACGCATATGACAACCTAAGGCCTGGAATGAAAAGTAATTCAAATCAGACTTTCAAGAAGAAAGAAGAATTCAGGTAACCCTTTCCATTAAAGAAAAATCACCCTGTTGGAGGATCTCATGAATACCACTCATCGGGACCCTCTAGAACAGTGCCCAGATTCCCAGTTTAAAAAACTGAAAGAAGAAACCCGATAAAGTGTTACGGATTTGGGACTCCTGGAGTCATCAAGTCAAAGTGTCCTAAATGCACGAGAGCTAATGAAATGGAAACAGCAGCGGACTGTATGACGTTATTCAACTTGAATTCGAACTTGTATCCCACAAGTGGGATTGTTATCAAAATTTTAGAGAAAAGATTGCTGTATGTGCTGATACCGGTGCTTCCCATACCATTGCAGGTGAAAAGATGTTTAAATTCCTACAAGATCATGATGTCACCTTTACGAACAAGATGATTTCATTTATGATTGCTGATGGAATTCGACAGACCATTATGGATCTGA